TTCGAATGTATATCATCAATAATATGATAGTACTAACGCTAACACTACTGCTAATACTTAACACAAAATCTATACTAACATCAATATTTACATAGCTATTTATACCCCTACGAATACGAATACGTAAACCCTTGTGCGTTAACAGTAGTGCTATCACCAACACTAATACGGACTTTGATAATCTGCTGCATATTCAAGAATGCCACTAGTATTACCAGCATGAACACTCATATTATGGCTATTACGAGTATAAATAGTCCTACTTCTACTAGTATTGACATTAATACTCCTACGCATACCAATAGTATATTCATATTGATATGAAAACTAATACCATTACTAATAGACACCTGCATATACTCATGTACATAAAATACGTACCACTATCTTAAGATACAGATATATACATCAGTGCATTCATGTATTAATTCTTTGGCATAGGCATATACCCATATACCAATGTATCAATATACTTCTCGTTGTTGTATGAATATACTATACGAATATGTGACTATAATCATATACGGCTACTGCACTATGCAAGAATACCGACATGACAAGTGCGTATACTAATATGCCAACATACTGATATACTTATACATGATTAGATAAAACAGTAATATAGTACACATATTCGTACACTAATATGCTGACGTACGAATATACTGGTATGTCAATATACTAGTAAGCTAATACAGCAGTATAGTAGTGTAGTCATGCACCAGTTGTACTAACATGTAAAATATACTAGTATACAAGTATGCAAATATTTTGCTGTCCGAATACATTGATGTATTAATATACTAATCTGCTAATATACGAGACTATCAATATACTAACATATCAAAACTAACTAGTTCTAATATTGATACTAATACTAGCACTTCTGCGAATATAAGCTGCTGTTAAACACAGCATTAAGACTGATACTGATACTACTCGTAGCAGTGGTGCTGTATTACTGACATTGACACTGGCACTAGCGCTAACTCTAACACGAACATGAGCACTAACACTAATTTATAGTTGGCAATATTGATACGTATACTTACAGCAAGCAATAGTACTAATATTAATAACAATACTCACCCTAATACAGATACTACCACAAGACTATTACGTAACTCATGTGCCGCACGTCTGGTGCTATACTATATACCTCATGTAACGGTTTTGCTTCACAGAATATCGTTGTGCACGGTGTTTGTTAGACCCGTGGTCTGTCACCGGGGGGGGGGGTGAGCATATATATATATATATATATGGATATGGATATGGATTTGGATATATATATATATATGGATATGGATATGTATATATATATATATATATATATATGGGCGCGCCCCTATTTGGGGTCCCCTACGTTTTTCGCTACATCATCTGACTGAGCTATAACCACCAGACTAGGTTATAACCAGCCGATTAGGTTATAACCAGCCGACTAGGTTATAACCATTCGAATAATTTATAATCAGGTATACATTACAGCCGACTAGGTTATAATCAGGTGTACGTCATCGACTACAGTATTATATCCGGTTTGAAGACCATGTCTTCAGAATGCTGAAACCCGCACAACGCTAAGATTTCTATGACACCTTCGTCGAAAGCCTGTTACAATGTGCTAAAATCCTTGCTTTGAAGCCGTCGATGTAGCTTCGTAGTTCATGTTTGTGTGACTGTATCTAAACCGCTGTAATTCAGTTTTTTCCAACAAGCGCGCTGTAGTCATTAGTCTGGTTCAGTCATTCCTTATCGCGAACTAGATTTTGCAACGAAACGTTTTCCATCTTTGTACTGTAATGCCGCAATCCCACCAAAGTGTCTGTTGTTGGACGCATTGCTATGACGTTTTGGCAAACTGATAGCTTTCAATGACATATCCCTGTGCCCCCATGTGATTGCTTTTAAACACTGGTATATCCGGTAGCTATATTTGAGTGGTGCATTCCTTAATTCTGTATGATGGCTGCCCCAAGCCAAAATTGAAAACTTGCATACTACAAGCTTAGCAAACGTTGTATAGTGTTTTTCCTAGGGGACGACATGAAGCGTCGCTTCTTAGGCTTGGAACTGTTTCTATATGCCGAGTGATGTAGCCTGTGCTTCTTGTATCAGCATACCTTAACTATCACGTAAAGCCGACTGAAAACCATAAGGCTACATCTAGCTTGTCCGAATTTCTGTTTGTGTTCTTGTGAATATTTACTGAAAGTCGAATAGAAGCCATTGTTCCCAGTCCAGAACGTGATCCTCGTGTTAGACAAAGTGGTACACACACACACACACCGAATCACTCCTCGAAAGAAGTTCATCCATGTAGTTGGAAATAGCACTGCGAGGAATTTTCTACGTACCGAGCGAGGAAACCTAACAGTTTAAGTCGCGAATTTTGTTTCGCTCACCACACATATTCTTATCAGTTTTGTCTCGTCGAAATCCGGCTTCCTTGGAACGATGTTTGAGCACAACGTTGCAACCAGTTCACCTATGTACGAAGTGATGAAACCTGACCACGCTGTAAAAATTGAAATGCTCTCTCTCCCTACAGTGACGTCGTATCAGCCGTATCTCAACTTTCTATGTACCGTGATATTCCAATGTTGACAGCACTTACTGACCTACTGTAATCCCGATAGAGCCCCTTCATATTCCGCATTTTGATTCCTGCGTGAGTGACATGTTAGCGGCTATTCTCTCAATGTGTACATAGGTCTCATAAACCCGATGTACTGGAACGGACAGACCATTGTGTAAAGTCGCCAAAAAGCCTTTCCGCTAAAGTTGGGGAATGCGCAAATGGTCCCCGGAATTATGTTTGTTACAAAGCACTGCATCATGCCTCAACAACCGCATACACGCCAATTACCTCGGACCCTCTATTCTTCTAGTCCTTGTTTAATTTCATTGTGGTTACATTCACCCTGAAACACCGACAATTTCGAACGTTTGGATTTAGGTGTTGATGAAGTACTGTAGCGGTGGCACAGGCCTGGTTATAACCTCTGTCCCCGGTTATAACCAGGACACCTGCGTAGTAGGCAGCCCTAGACCCATCACTACGTAAACCATTAAACCATTAACAAACCGTTAAATTAGTACACCGTTAAACAAATCCTTTGCCCCAATGGACCCAAACCAATAAACCATTAAACCATTAAACCAATCCTTTTGCCCCATACCACTAAACCATTAAACCATTAAACCAATCCCCTTACCCCATACCACTAAACCACTAAACCACTAAACCATTAAACCATTAAACCAATCCGTTTGCTCCATACCACTAGACCACTAAACCACTAAACCATTAAACCATTAAACCATTAAACCAATGCTTTCGGCCCATACAGGGATGTGTCTCTCTCTCTATAGGGGAAAATGATTGGTTTAATGGTTTAATGGTTTAATGGTTTATTGGTTTGGGTCCATTCGGGGAAATGATTGGTTTAATGGTTTAATGGTTTATTGGTTTGGGTCCATTGGGGGAAATGATTGGTTTAATGGTTTAATGGTTTATTGGTTTAGTGGTATGGAGCAAAAGGAATGGTTTAATGGTTGAGTGGTTTGGGTGTGCAAAAACCCAGGGGACCCCATATAGGGGGTACCCATATATATATGTATACATATATATATATGTATACATATATATATATATGTATATAGATATACATATGTGTATATACACATAATATGTATATATATATATATACACATGTATTGCACAATGCCTTGTCTAATAACGGGAATCGAGTATTGCATCTATTTCGAAATATCTCTTGTTTCTTATGCCTCATACTACCAAGCCATACGTCATTTTTCTCGCAAGATAGCACTTCTGTATAGAAATTAACCAGATATATAACAATAATACAACACGTATAGTGTGACAAAAACGGAATATGATAGAACAGAACATAATATGATGTAATGTAAGATGGAATAAGGCGATACAATCTAACAGAATATGCATTGCAATATATGCGGTGTACAATATGTACAATATACATTGTGAAACATAAAACTATATATCTATATACATATATATATATACAAGAGTGTTATACTATGTGATGTGCAATATGTGTGTATACATATATATATAAGGCCATATGTGATATGTTGGCTGAAACATAGTATAGGATATGTAAAATAAATAGGTATAATACTCCTTACCCAAAATCTACCAGTTAAAACACATACAGTATAACATATTATGCAATCAAACAATACAATACAATATATAGTATGATACAACTTCATCTAACAAAGAAGCATATACCATTTAATCCAAAAATAGAGCATATAAGATGTAATATATATATATATATATATATATATAAATATAAATATAAGTATTATCAAGTACAGAATAGGTAGTAAAGAATACCTAAACAGTGCAACTAATTGGTGATAGATAACAGGTAGCGGATAATGCCCAACAGATGATAGATAACAGATGCTCTACAATATCGAATAGAGTAATTATTGACAATAGATGTCATATATTATATAAAATATATATCAAATATTATAAACAAAAAATATACAATACATAATAGTGTGCATATATATATATATATGTATACACTTGTCTTGCGTGCGTGTGTGTACGTTCGGCTACTTAGTGCATATTTCCCGTTGCGACTCTTGAATACACATTTCCCCCGCTGACTTCGCAGGGTTGATGTCTGCGCATTCCATCATCTTCTCTTCTAAAAGACCTAGAGCAGGGGTCATAGCAAATTGCCCCATGCCAGGAGACGGGGTACCCCAAACCCTAAATCCAAAACCAAGTTGCATAAAAGCCACGATGGGCCTAAAAGAAAAAGCAAAATGGCCGTCAGGTTGGAAAACCCTCAAGTACTACACTTTCTCGAAAATGTCGAAATTCACCGGGGGGTCTTGACACGAAAGAAGAAGAACTGAGTCCAGTGATAATGATGATGATGACGCGACCTCGCCTCAGACCTTCCAAGAGCTCTCGAAAGCCCAGCCTTTAGCGCAGCCATCACGAAGTCCCAGTTCTCCTGAAGCTCCTGTCTCATCGGCTCTGCTGCTGATGATGCTAAACGCTAACGGTTCACAGGGGGACTCGGAGGAAGAGTGTCTTCCTCGCTATGATGAGTTGCTGGTAGTCGCGGACGAAGCTAGGGACCCGTGGTGAATCTTGAACTAGACAGATCTCTTTCAGATCGTCCCTGTCGCAAGACTGGGCGGAGCGGTTTTTTTTTTCCTAGGTCTGGCCCTCCCCGGCTTGCTTTCCTAAGTCTGGCCCACTGGTTGTGGTTGCCAACAACGGCAACTGCGGTCTTTGCTGCATCAAGCTATTGGGGAACTAGAATTCGACGGCTCTGGTTTTGCTTCTGTTTTGCATGAAGCTATTGGGGAACTACAACTTGCGGAGTCTGATTTTGCTTGTGTTTAGCATGAAGCTGTTTGGGAACCACAAGTTGCAGGGTTCGGTTTTCTTTGTGTTTTGCATGAAGCTATTGGGGGGTTCGCATTTGCAGGGATCGGTGTTGCTTGTGTTTTGCATCAAGCTATTGGGGAACTACAATTCGCAGGGTCTTCTTCTGCTTGTGTTCTGCTTGAAGCTATTAGGGAACTAGAATTTGCGGTGTGTTCATCTGCTTGTCTTTTGCATGAAGCCACTAGGGAAATACAATTTGCGGTGTGCTCTTGTGCTTGTGTTTTGCATCAAGCTAATGGGGAACTACAATTTGCGGGGTCGGCCTTGTTTGTGTTTTGCATCAACCTATTGGGGAACTACAATTTGCAGAGTCTTTTATTGTTTGTGTTTTTCATCAAGCTAATGGGGAACTAGCATTCGCAGGGTCTGGTTTTGCTTGTGTATTGCATGAAGGTATTGGAGCACTACAATTTGCAGGGTCGTGTTTCGCGTGTGAATAGTGCGAAATGCCAATTTCAAATCTTCTGTCTTCTGGCGTTGTTTTTTTGGTGTCGTTGTCGACATCTAGGTCATCGTCGTCGTCGTCCTCGTCCTCGTCCTCGTCGTTGCCGTCGTGGTAGTTGTTCTTGTTGTTGTTGTTGTTGCTGTTGCTGGTGTTCTTGTTGTTGCTGTTGTTGTTGTTGTTGTGGTTGTCGCGGTGGTTGTGGTTGTGGCTGGTTGGACCCAAATCCATGGGCTTGCCGTCGGCATTGCGGATAAGATCACCTTGGGCCGGGGCTGTCGTTTTCAAGGCTTTGGGTTTTACGCTTCAAGGGGGGTTTAGGATTCCGGGGTCTGGAAGGAGATAAGGGTTAGAAGGATTGAAGTACTGCACACACCAACACGGAAATGCCCAAGTTAGATGCTGAACATCTGAAATGTTTCGGGTCCGACATGGCTTGGCAAACGACGCGATTGCCTCGAAATCGCGGGCAGTGAGACGAGTGCCAGCAACTTACGGTTTAGGGTTCAGGGGTTTAGGCTGAACACGAACGGTGAACTCTGAACCTGAACCCGTGCTCTCAAGTCTAGGACCCAAGAACAACATCCCAAAGTCTTCCTTTTGGGAGCTTATGTCAATAGTCAATAACTACAGGCATCTTTGCGCAAGTGTCCAACCAACAGTGGCCAGAATCCCAAAAGCAATGTGGCTCAAGTCTTCGCGGTTTGAAGGTTTAGGGGCACAGGACCAGGAGAGACCAGGGAACCAGGGGACCAGGGACCAGAAGACCGGAGGACCAAAGGACCAGGGGACCAGGACCAGAGGACCAAAGGACCAGGGGACCAAGGGACCTTGGATGTAAAGCATTTCCCGTGCCGGTACAAGCAGTCTTGGATGAATGCTTGATGCACTCACTCCTGAATGTTGAGAAGTATGAGGAAGAAAGCTTGGCTCAAGTCTTGGCGGTTTGAGGGTTTAGGGGTACAGGACCAGGAGAGACCAGGGAACCAGCGGACCAGGGACCAGGGGACCGGAGGACCAAAGGACCAGGTAACCAGGACCAGAGGACCAAAGGGCCAGGGGACCAAGGGACTATGGGACCAGACCTAGCAAGGCCCCCCAGACCAGGCCAGACCTAGGAAAAAAAAAACAGTGGACCCGCAAGACTGCTGTGGCCATATCTCCTAGCAAGATCTGCACCCTGTATTCCCAGAAGCCAGACACAAATCACTCTGAAATCGATGCCATTTCCTGCAATCTAAGCAGCTGCCTCTGCTGCATAGGAGAGCGCAGAGCCGTGGATGCCGATGGCAGAAAGAAGGAAGTCGGAGTCCTTTCGGAGTGCCTCCGACTATCCAGCAAAAGCGGAGAGCAGGGTTCAAACACACACACTCATGCTCTCTCCAGTCGCACAACACCCCAGAAGCTGCAGCCTCCGCTTCGGCTGTAAGAAGCACAGACGGGTCTGCACGCAGGGACGAAAGAAGGTCCTCTGACACACAACCAAGTCATGCAGCCTGAAAGAAGTTGGCCTTCAAATCCAAACTCGAGCTTGAGCCTTCCACCTTGAAAGCCCTGGCCCAGGGCACTTTCTCGCAAAAGACATGAGTAAAAACAGCAGGTGCAAGCGGTGCAAGTGTCCTGGCGCACCCTCTGCCCAGATTGCCTCGGAGGACCAAGGACTGGGGAGTGCATCAGCAGCAGCAGCAGCAGCAGTGTAGAAGTAGCATATTATTGTCACTGTTGCTATCGCTTCCCCTCAGTCGGGCGAAGAGCATGCCAAACGCCTGGTGCCACATCCACATTGAATGCATCAGACTACAAGTTCTCGTCTCTGCGGGCAGGCATGGTCTCTGCGGGTAGGCATGAGAGGCTGGACGAAAGATCGCAGGCGAGGGCTGGTGCGGTGCACTGGGAGCGACCGCTAGCAATAGCAGCAGCAGCAGAAAGCAATCACGGCATCGGTAGCGGTCGCCCCGAAGTGCATGCAGCAAACAGACTGAGAACAAACTACGCGTTGCTAAATACTCACGGCAGCAAATTTAAAAAAGGACATCCAGCAGCGGAAAACACAGCTATAGCAGTACCTTAGCATGCTCAGCAGTAGCATGTAAGGGTGCGACCGCAAAGCAGTAATAGCGATAGCAAGAAGCTATTAATTATTAACTGCATTGAAAGTTGGAAGAGAAACCTGAATCCGAGGAAATTCAATACCTCACCTGCCGAGTGTGGCCCCCCCCCATTCAACCAACTTTACTTGAGGATAAGGGCCACAGGGATTTTTCTCGTAAACCGAGACTGCAGCTGTGTGCAAGAACGGACCCCTCTTTGCCAGAGCTGAAAGGCTCGCACATTATGAGAGCTCGCTCCCATAGCGCATGGCAGAGAAAGACCAAGGCCACGCTACGGCCGCCGCTACGGCTGCTATAGCGTGGATGCTGTGCTTAGGTTGAGTGCTTCTGGGATCACCGCGAGGCCTGAGAAGCATGAATGTGCGTGAAGCGAGACAGAGGACGATTGGTGACAAGCATACATAACATATACATATATATATATATATATATGTATATATATATGTATATATATACATATATATATACATATATACACATATATATATATATATATATATTCATATAGATGTACATATGATCTCTGTTGCGTCTGGTCAAGGCTCTGCAGTGATTGCCGTTTTAGCTTTGGCTGGAAGTCTCAATCCTGTGGCCTGCGGTCCGAGAACCCCTCGAAGCACGCTTCGGAGCAACTGGCTCACTGGCAAATTCGACCAGGAGTTCAGGGGCTAGTGCAGGGGCATGTTGCGGTTTGAGAAACTGCCACAAAGACACTCGGGCCCGGTTCATGAAAGCGCTACTCAAACAGGCACCGAGGGTAGCGGTGAGGAGAGCCTCGCTCTGAAACAGGACGCCTAGCCCAGTAGCCCCAGCTCTTCGCCTCGAGGTGGCTAGGCACAAGCAGGGGATTTTTTCCCTCTCGCCTAAGGCGACGCCGCGGGTCCTATGGCTCTTCTCCACCTACCATCGACAGGGGTCAAGGATCAGCGGCTGGAGATGGTACAAACCGGGTCAAGCAACTCTAAGGCTTCCAGAGTATGTAGAGTCTGGGCAACCGCGCCAACCACATCAGACACGCCATCCAAGCTTATGCAGTAAGCAACCCGAAGACGAGGCCTTTGTCGGCTGCACATCCATCACTTTCCGCAGTTCGTCTGACATGATCTTGATGTCATTCCTGGACACTCATTCACCAGCCACAGGCATTTACATAGACCTACCCCACGACTTGGGGCGCATGATTAGTTTAGGGTTCTTTTTTCGTTTTTTAAATTAGGTTAAGGTTCAGAGTCTGGGGTTTGCGGTTTACGATTCAGAGCTTAGGGTTTCAAATGCAAGCTCTGGAACTTGCAGGGCTCTTCGGTGTTCTACGGGCCAGACATCCCCGACCTGTAACATGAAGATGTCTGTGCTGACGACTTTGCGAAACCTCACGCGAAGCGACTCCTCAAACGGATGTTGTCTTCGGTCGTGTCTTCGACGATCCTCTCAAGCTCCTGGATGTCCTGGCTGACCCACGCAAACCCTTTCGAGCAATGACCAGCAGTAAGTCGGCTAGGGCTCGGCTTGCCACCACCGTCCAGCCTTGTGCCAGATCATATCAGCTCATGGCACCTAGAAGTAATATTTCGTCTTTATTACAAGTATACCGTCTCCTCCTGCGCAGACCTTTGGGACGCTTGGCTCCACCAATGGCCTGAGCAGCCAGGGTGGGTTGTCACCTTACATCTCATGACACAGCCATGGTCCTTCTGCTTCGTTCATATCAAGAATAGCGCTTTGGGGTTAAGAAACTCTACAAGTACGGTATTCTTAATGATTTCCTGCTCTCTGTACACCAAAAGCACCCCTTCGGGAACCTCCCGGCGCGGAGCGCGCGCTTCCGGCCGGCTTGCTCTCCGGGAGCTTCGCCTGCGGTTTCGGCGCGGAAAGCATAGGACAAAAGGATATGATGTAGGACCCTTTATCACTTCGTCCCATGAATGAAATCTTGACCCAATCCCTGACATGAACCCTACCGTCCCTACTGCATATGCGTCTTCGCAAGTGGACGGAGCAAAGAATGCCTTTCCCGACTTCCTCATTGGAAGATGTGCATCGTTTTGACCTGCCTTTGCAGCCCACGCTGCTAATGGGACAAGTCCGCAGCTTCCCCGACACCGTGCATGTCTGGATGCCGGCCAGCAAAAACTAGAAGACAATTGGCCCGAAAGCATCATTAGCGAAGAGTTTTGCGCTACGTCATAGAATCCAGTGCGTAGAATCATAGAGTCAGAGAGTGAGGTGCATATAGTCATCAAGTACATAATAATGCCGAGATCGATGTACTTGACTTTATGTATCTCACTCTATGTACTTCACGCTGCGTACTGAACTCCATGTTGTCAGAGCTCTCGAATCAGTGCATAAACTCAAGTACAGGAAGTCAATTGCATACAGTGAAATGCATGAAGTCAAGCGCTTAGTCCAGCGCATAGAGTCAAGTACATAGAGTCAAATAGTCCAATGCATAGATGCATAGAGTCCCGCAGGTTAAACCGATTTTTGTATACAAACTTTAGTACTGGAGGTGTCTCTTTTGGGCTAAGGCCAAATTTCCGGTTCAAGGGTCCCCAAACCTGAAGTTTTTCTTGAATGAATGATTGAAACAAACGTAAATCTCGAGATTTATTGGTTTACTATTGGTGAACCAATCCCTGTAAACCCTAAACCTTAAGCCTTAAACCTTTAAGCAATAAACCCTAAACCCTAAGCCTTAAACCCTCAGCCCTAAACCCTAAACCCTAAAGAGTCATAGAGTCAAGTATACATGTACATAGAGTCATATTAGTCTAGTCCAGTCCAGTGCATAAAGTCAAGTACATAAGTCAGGTACACAGGTACATAGTACATCTTCACTCTGTGGACTATGCACTTGGTTCTACGTATGTCAATCTATGTACTATGCACGTAGCTCGACGTGCTTCATTCACTCTACGTACTATGCACGTAACTCGATGCACTTCACTCTATGTACTATGCAGTTGATTGACTCTATGTACTTCACTCTATGTACTATGCACGTAACTCGATGTACAACCTTAAGCCCTATACCCTGAAGCAATAAACCCTAAAACCCTAAGCCTTAAACCCTCAGCCCTAAACCCTAAACCCAAGAGTCATAGAGTCAAGTATACATGTACATAGAGTCATATTAGTCTAGTCCAGTCCAGTGCATAAGGTCAAGTACATAAGTCAGGTACACAGGTACATATAGTCATCGAGTCAAGTACATCTGCACTCTGTGGACTATGCACTTGACTCTATGTACTTCACTCTATGTACTATGCACGTAACTCGATGTACTTCATTCACTCTTTGTACTATGCACGTAACTCGATGCACTTCACTCTATGTACTATGCACTTGACTCTATGTACTTCACTCTATGTCCTTCTCTCCCGAGCACCGCAAAGCACCGCAAAAAAACACACGTTCGCACACTCGACCACACGAATCCGTGGGAAGGGTTGCGCGTGGCGCCTAAAAGTTGTAACTTTCCCTCACGTTCGTGCGCTCGACCACACGAATCCCTGTGAAGGATTGCGAATGGCGCCTAAGAGCGCCGAAAAGTAGTAACTTTACTACACGTTTGGGCACTCGACCACGCCAATCCCTGTGAAGGGTTGCGCGTGGCGCCTAAGAGTTGTCACTTTCCCACACGTTTGGGCGCTCGACCACGCCAATCCCTGTGAAGGGTTGCATTCCCGATCGATGACGATACCGAGATGTAGATAAGTCGGACAGAGTCAAAAGCACAGAGTCACAGAGTCGAGTGTCAGAGAGTCATAAGTCATGGAATCACAGAGTGAGAGAGTCAGAGTGAGATAGAGTCATGGAGCCATCTATGTACCATCCCTCTATGTACTTCACTCTATGTACTATGCACTTCACTCTATGCACTATGCACTTCGCTCGATGTACTTCACTCTATGTACTTCTCTCAAGGGCTTCGCACGGAAGAACCCTTCGCGATGCTTTCGGGAATAAAAACTTGTTGCCGCGGCCTTTCGCAGTAAGACCGCGATGAGGTCGTTCTTCTCCTAAGCTGGCAGAGCTTCGACGATGCCTCATCTGGCTTCTTGTCTCCCTGGTGCTAGCTTCGTTCCGGCTGCGGGCGGGGGTCGAATCTGTGAAAGCTTTCCGATCCAGGCTTCAACCTGACCTAATCCGTGCACAAGCGCTCTCTGAGATTGCAAGAAGAAGACTTGCCTTTGGAAGCCCCTCACCCCCCGAGTCTCCTGATTCTCCTTCCGCAGCGCCGACTCAGAGTGATGAAGCTCCTCCAACTGCCTGGTCCGGGGACACCAGTTACAGATCTGGAGCTTGATGGTGTCGGTGAATCGTGAGATGTAGGGCCTAGCAGGGCAACATCTCATCATCATCATGATTATCATCACCATCATCATATCGAACATCAAACCCACAAGACGGAATACATAGATAAACAAATGCAACTTTATGTTGGCGCATAACACATATGTATGCATGTATGCATGTATGTATGTATGCGCTCTGTATACTGTATATCTATAACCTTTACATATTACTTACATATGCAGGCATGTTACAGCTCTCGCTCTCGCGAGGAATCAAGCTATCGGCCTCACTCTCTGGCTGCGGGCTCCCCTATCTTCAAAGCATCATGTCCTACCACGTGTAAGGGAGTAAGTCGTCGACCGAGAAATGACGTCAGAGGCCTAGGCCTGGCTTGCCGAAGACCGCCCTCGAACAGCAGAAATCCAACACATTCCTGGAAAAAACTGACACAAACAGCCCTTACATCCGGGCGACACCCAGTCCTATGAAGAGTTTGTTGTCTTTCTTGCTTCCGGGCACCCGGGCTGCTTGAGTTCGTCACTTCGCATTTCGAGTTCGGCAATGCGCTGCACGAAAGCCAAGCCCGCAGGCGCCTGTGCAGACGAGCCAAAACCAACAGGTTTCGGGCTACGTCCATGATGAAAACAGGGACGAAAAAAAAACAACCTTCAAGATGCAAAATGCTTTCGGCTCATCCAGAGTCGCATCTAGATCCAGTCTTCTTACTTGGCGGACGGCCACTGCGTACTACGATGTCTTGGGTCAAAGGCCTCCATCTACAGCATCAGTAACACGACTGTAATCCCTTCCCCCTAACATGAAACGGGAGGGGCCCCCCCGAATAAAGACTCGGAAAGTAGTTACACCGAGCCTGCCCTTCGTCTGTAGCCACTCCCGTTTAAGGATCTACAAAGGGGAAACAAAGGCGGAAATCTCCTACCGCCTCCACGGGTTCCTCCTCTGCCTCGGTCTCCAGCGGACGGCTCCTGAGGGAAGGGCTCACGGAAGTCCGCTTCTTGCGCTTCCTCGCAGGACACCGCGCTACGGATGCCTTCCGTGCGTCTCCTCGCTTTGCCTTCATGGTCACCAGTATCATCATCACCTACAGCACCATCCACATCACCACCATCAACACCAACAACCACCGCATCAGCATGCGGCACTCAGACTCCAGGGAGGCTATCCCTTGCATGAGGGAGAGTTCTGCTTGTAGCCAGAGGCTCGAAATTCTACAGCAATTTCGTATCCCCATGACGGCGCGTGTCTGCTGCTTTCGGCTTTTGGAGGCCTCAGTGGCACACACGATGCGGGTGGGTCCCGGTTCGGTACTGTCTGGGGGTGGCCGGCCTTCGGACATCCTCCTCGCCATCAGAGCTGATGTCGTGGAACTCCACCTCCAAAGCGCGACAAGCATTGGGCTTGCAGGTGGCAATAGCAGCGGAAGTGGCAGTGGCAGTAGCAGCATGTTCCTCTGTGTGGCAGGTCTACGCTGGCATATTTACTGCGATGATTCCCTCTATTGGTGCAATCATCATTATGGCTATAAGCCCTGCCTTTCCAAGTAGCATTATTATTGAGACATCGCTATGATGTTGGCTGCTGCTACATCTACTTCTATGAACTATTGCTGCGGACGGAAATCTTGTCACATTCCGTGGCCTTCTGTGCAGCGAACCATTCACTCTGCACATCGGCAGGGACGCTTGGAACAGCTTCGTCCAAATCGCCTGTCCAGATCTCAGATCGGGGGCATTTCTCAAGGCCTGGTAACGCGGAGAAGCCCGCTCTGATCAGACTTGTCTGCGGTGTGCCTGGCTCGCCTCGCCTCCTAGCAGTTCACAGCCCGCTCGTGTGCTGGACGGGTCAAGCGTCAAGCCCTGTGGACCGTCCTCGATGCCATGCTGTTCGAACCACTTATACCGAAGACCAACAGGGCACATCAATGTCCTCATGAAGGCTTCTAACGACCGATCCTGATCTGTACCATAGCCCCCGAAACTTGAAAGGGACCGCGCGACGCAACTGCTCCCCTGCCCTCTCGTGTGTCACATGTGGGTTCACATGCGCCTCCTCGACAAAGGACGCGATATGTCAGAAGTCTACATAAGGGAAGACAAGGAACCCGCAAAAAAAGGAACTCTGGCATCTTTTCGTTTCGCGGTCCGGTCCGGTCGGCATTCTCTGAAGCCTGGTGGGTTCCGTGCTGTGAGACTCAAGGCCATCGGTTAGTAGGCTTTCTTGTTGAGCTTTGGGCCTTTTAGGCGTTAAGGTTTGGTTCAGGTTGGCATCAGGACGTCGAACTTAGCATTCAGGAAAACTGGGCCAAGATGTCTTGGTTCTAAAGCTCGTCTTTTCATCCAAAGACGAACATGCAGTGAGAGAGAACAGGGCATCCTTATGAAGCAGCAGTAGCTGAGGAAGCGGATTCCCCGACAGCTAAGTGGACACAGAAGGGCTGGCAGCTATCCTTGACAGTGAAACCCTGTTCTCCCAGACTGGCGGTGCCACGAGCAAGACGCCCTTATCCTGGACTTCCGTTCGCAAGAGCACCCTCGATTCCGTAAAATCGATGCAGAACAGCACCTCCCGCAGACTGACTCCCAGACCTCTCCACTCAGAGGAATGTCCAAAACACACCCTGTAGAGTTTCGTGGCTGTGCTGCCCTGCAGGTAACTAGCGCCGTTTGACAAGTTACGACTCCTGGTCCCCAAGAATCGTAGCCGGAACCGCAACCCCGACTTGGCTTGACTGCGAAAGCCACAACAAACAAGATTCAAAGAACCTCGCTTGCCCCAGCAAGGCAAACTTGCCGCGACAGCGCATGGTCCCTAAGGCAAAACATGGATTGCTTCTTAAAGCCCAACTGCTTTCGTCAAAAAGGAGAAGGCAGCATACCTCCTGTCCACTTTGAGCTGCAACCACCAGATCAGCTGCGGTTTGGTAAGAACTGTCAAGATGAGATTTGCTTCAGCAGAAGCTACAGACCAGCTGAACCACGTTTCTACGAAAACTCAGTACAGACGTGTACACATACACACCAAATTACGTAGATACATTACGTAGATACATACATCCATCCATACAACCATACAGACGACATCCGTACACGCATACATCCACACAGGCATACATGCATACGTTCATCCATACATCCATACAACCATGCATGCACTACATTCACGTACTATGCACTAGTTATGTAAGTTATATACACCTGTATACAGACACATCAACAGATGCACACTCTCACCGTGCATATTCATGCTATCAGCAAAATTCATGAACTCTATACCTTTCGGCTTACCAACTCTTCTTGCCCGCACCTGGACTCCAGATACAAGCTCAGGTGCTCCTTCTGGCGGCGTAACAATGCTGTGCCGAGTGCTAGGGTTGCTCTGTGCTGTTGGTCTGATGATTGCTATTCTGTATCACTGCTGCGCCACGGTTGTGTAGGCCAGTTCATCCGTGAGTAATGCTTCCTTACTCAGAGGGTTGATTCCAATTTCTGGCGATTCTGGTCAATCATTCTCTACTACGGCTGAGTCTTGCTGCCGCTGCTCCCGCCATGCTACTGTTGTCATTGACACTGTCAGCTGGCTTCATGATTGAGCTCAGCACCACACTGCATGCTTGCGGTGGCTGCATGCCGGAAGCCCTCATAAAGCTCCTACCAGTAGCGGCTGGAGGCTGAGAGCAGGTTGAAAGCATTTTCGGGAGCCTGACATCCATTGCGCTTCACTGCGCTTCGCGTCGCTTCAGCTTCGGCCACCAGCACTGCTGGCCGATTACGGAGCATCTTCACAAGGCCTCGACATGAGGGACAGGGGCGTAGGAGAATGCAATTCAAACCCACAAAACCTCGCAGGCACCGACCCAAGCACTTCATGGATTTGCCGCGGCGACCATCATGATGCTCTCAAGTCTTAAGCTTAGTGTTCAGAGGAACCAAGAAGATCAACCGACAATCTGGGATCATACAATGGGGGCTTCTCCATACTAGTCCCTGCTAGAGGTTCCTTTCAAGGTCCGTTTATTCGTCAAGAGCTCACTCTTTGTCGGTCTACAGCGGGTCCCTTCGCAAATCTGTTGTTGTACCTCACCTATCTTGTGGCACAGATGCCATGTGAATCATGCTGGCCACGCAGGGTGCGAGTGCGAGAAGGCTTGGAAAAACCCTGGCGGGCTCCGCCAAAGCAGGTGTCTCGGAACGATGTGACCTCGCAACACCTGCACAAGCCCTGAAGGTTGGCAGAAAAGCAGCTTTGAAGCCGAGCATACTCGACCGTGTTGCAGAAAAAGTGTACGGCCAGAGGCTCAGCACGGATGGCCACCCAAGCGACAAGCTCTTGTGCCGGGTCCATCCGTACCGCCCGAGGCCTAAGCACCCAGGTCCTAGAAACCTGATTACCACAGGCACTGTGGTCGAAATAAGAAAATGTGAGGAAAATTCCACAAAAACAAGAAGCCATCTTCCAAATGCCAGACTTCTGAGATCCCAGACCATCACCTCACAGCTTCGCGGTTCTTCCCGGCAGCTGAGGATGGCTGGATTCATCCCGCACCATGTCCTTTGTATGACCCTCCTTCTCCACGTAGCGCTGTTAGCAAGATCGGAAGACGATCGGTAGCTCAGTAGTGCGAGTTGGAGTGCTCAGAGTAGACATGGGCACAAGGCAGAACAGCGGAGTCGAGGTATTGTCGGACGTGGTGCTGAGAGTCTCTGCATCCTGCCGACAAGGCGGATGCTTCTGGCAACTTCCAGAGATGTGCGTTGGATTCATCCACGGTTCTTCCCGAAAACTCACAAAGACACAGCGATGCAAGTGCAACTGCGCACCCCCCTCAGCGGTTCTTGGGGCTCCATGAACCTCAGACAACACAGTTGTAACGCCTTCAACACTGTCGGTTGTGAAGCTTGCAAGGCGCAGCGGTCACATCATCGTGAAGCCATGTTGAGAACACGAGGACCAGGCATGATCTACCACATACAACAAAAAGCTCGCATGGATAAAGGGATGCATGCGGGTGTTCTTTCTTTGCAGGGCTTAGCAACGGGCTATACTGTTTCAGGGAAATGTGCCCCAAGACAGCATTTACAACACGGAGCCCTGCATCTCAAAAGTTAGTCATACGATCTGAAGCAATATAAGAGAAGTATATAGTGTTTTCGACTGTGCTCGGAAAGTACGGACCGTTCCTTCATTGGTGCTGCGGGCATCAGAGCATGGACCTCAACACTGCATGAAGCTTCTCTGTTCGTGTGCAAGCCCCGGGCTGAGCGATTTCTTGGCACTGTTCGGCTTCATCTGCTTCTGCGAACCTGCCCACCGCACGGCCATGCATCTGTGCAGAAATCTCTCGATCGCAGGCAAGCGGAGTATAGCCACGAGTGGCAAGGAAAACGTGCAGGAACGAGACAAAGCTGTGTCTCAGAGAGGGCTACAACACCCGAACCGAGCCAAGGGCCACAAGGAAGCCACCCATGAGTACAGACTCCAGGAAGATCCTAACGCTCAGGGTTTCCTGTAGCATCCTTCAGTGTGCTGCTTACTTCTTACAACATGGTGGGGGGAGGGCGGTTAATGGCAGCCTAGGGCCTAGGGTCAACAGTTCTCATTCCTTGATATGGCAATGAGACATGTTCCTCGATCTTTGCACCGCTGACAAGATTGCTGTGGGACGGACATTATTGAACAAAACCAAGCTCAAGCACATGCCGCCGCTCTCTGTGAGCAGGGTGTTCGGACAGCAGAAAGCGGCCTCCTGTCGCGTTCCTGGCACAGCTAAAAGTTAGCAATGACCATTTCCATTTTCTAACCATGCACCACCCCCTAGCACCCAAACCATAACAACCTATACATCAACCCTAACCCCACCGAAAGACGCACCTGAAGACCCAAACCCATATCAACCTATACCTCAACCCTAAACCCATCCAAGGCCCATAGGTAGAACCCTAGGAATAACTCACCTGAAGACCCAAACCATATCAACCTATACCTCAACCCTAACCCCACAAAAAAACCCAACCTAAGACCCACACGATGGAACCACCAGAAGACCACACCAGAGCGATGATTTCATTTATCTGAGTTGGTGTTAAGTCTTCTTAGCTCATGCTCTTCTCTTCAACACATTCTTTAATTCTCTTCTTTTGGGCATGCCTTAAACTTGCTTCGCGCTTCTTTTGCATAAATTGTTCGTCTTCCCTGCGCTTCGCATAATACAAACGCTGATACAATGCCAGTTGTTGTTTTATCTCATCCATTGTCATACCCCTGGACTTTTAATATTATGCATATTACAGTACTATATATTAATCGTCTATATTTAAATATGTTTTTCTAGATATAGCAGAAAATCTTTAGAAAAGCACTTGAAATGAAATCTAATTTACATTGCAATTATAATGTTAAGCGTAACACGAGAGCACTACAAACAACCTACGACAATTACAAAAATCGTCTCACGCAAAGCACCCGAACAAAAATACAAAATCTAATTAATTTCTATGAAGACCGTAAAATAGCACAATTCACCACCGCAGATAACTTAATCAGACAGCTTATAACCGAAACAGCGGACAAACAAAAGACGAAGGCAGACGAAGCATACGACAAAATCCACGACAAACACCACGACAAAGAACCACTCGGCCAACGAATGCGGGAAGCAAAGAAGGAAAACAAAAAACGAAATACTTCTAATATCTACTCGAAAGATGTG